TGCTTAGCTGAGTTTGAAGAAAGGAAAGAAAATCTATATGAACCAAAACAAAGGAACTGAGACCAAGAAATGTAAGCATGAGATGTGCTGTGACTAGCCCCAGAAGGTATAGGGAGGAAGGAATATTGCCTGTCTGTCTTGACCTGGGTGGTTCTGCTTAGAGTAGGAGGAGTTGCCTCTGAGAATTTATAACTAAATGAGTTAGAGTTTGAACTCAACACCTGCATGGTACAGATTAGGTTTCCATCAGCCCAGCTGGCTAGCAAGGCTCAGTGGTTGAGCTTCAACCTATGAACCAGGAGGTCACAGTTTGATACCCAGTTGGGGGGCACATGCCTGGGTTGCGGGCTTGATTCCCCAGTGTGGGGCATGCAGGAGGTAGCCAACCAATTATTCTCTCTTACCATTGATGTTTCTAGCTCTCTCCCTCTCCCTTCCTCTCTGAAATCAATAAAAATATATTTAAACAAAAAAGACTGGTCTCCATCAGTCGATTCTCCTGGAATGCCGGGCACAAGCAAACACAAAATTGCTCAGAAGAAACATACCCTCAACCCAGGTCACAGAATATTACTGCCCTGGTAAATCCCCACTGAAGATTAGTTCACTAGATAAAAATTACAATACATAAAAGGAAACAATATACCCTGAATGAGATAAGAGTAGATAAGACCCTGAAGACAACAGTCTAAGTGGCAGCCTGGATGGGGGAAGGGGAGAGTCAAAGATGCATCCCACAGAAGAACTGTGATGATTTAAGTGAGTTTAGGGAACCAAACAAATGATGGTCACCATTAGCAGAAATTGGGTACAGTATATACAGAAGGATGATTTAGACAGATTGTATTTGAAATGGTGGTAGGATACCCATACGGAGATGTGCGTTAGAACCACGGGACTGCAGCTGGGGTAGGGACCAGGGCTGCCCGACTTAGAAGTCATCTATGGAGCAGTGATAGATGAAGGCCCTGGGAATGAATGTGCTCTCCTAGGAGAGTGTTGAAATAAAACTAAATCTGGGAAACATCCACATTTTGAGAACCAAATGAAAAGAGAAGCTTTACTTGCTCTCTGTTTGGGTCCTGATTTTCCGGTTGTTCGATTTTAATTCTTTCCATCTCCTGCTTAACATTCTTTCCCCTCAGAATCCCTAGGGGAGAGTCCAGAAAATGCAGCTGTTTCCCTTGGGAGTAATAGGAGGGACTTCTCAGCTGAGAGTTCTAGAACCAGGCTGGGCTCTGGTACGAGCACTACTATTAAGTCAATTTTCTCATCAGTGATATTTGGCTTAGATAGGTGTGGAGACAAGATGGGGCACAATAGAGCAGACTAGTTGATGGAATGCTGATGAAGAAGGCAAGGGTGGGGTGGTTAGGTGCCACCCACCACAGCCTGTCTGCCCTTCTTCCTTTGTTCAGGTTATGTGTTTGGGGACCAGTTGCTTGAGATCTGGGCCTTTGTGCTCTTCCTTACCTATTCTTCATGGAAAGTGAAGTCAGGTGGTCAGTGTGAAAGGTGTGATCACTTAAATAGTACGTAATGAGAGTCATCATTATCTTATGTCTCCATGAATCTGTTACAATACTTGACAGTCCACCATTTGAGCCTCTCTCTAGGGTTAAACATTGCCCTCTGCAGGCCATTCTTTTAAAACGTTAACTCCTAGAAGAGGTAATATCAAATCCTTTATCACAAATTGGTTTATTAGATACAAGATACTCAACTACATGAAAGCACTTAACACCTGGGAGAAAAATGGGTGGAATTCTCTATTTCACCTCTTGGTTGAAGCATAGCTCATTTGGTATAGTGAACCCCAATATACCCAAGTTATGGGTTCAATCCCCAGTCATGGCACAAATAAGAATCAACTAATGAATGCATAAATAGGTGGAATCCTATTTTCAAATCAATGTTTTTTTTCTCTTTCTTCTTTCTCTCCTCCCTCTCTCTATCTCTAAAAATCATTTTTTTAAAAAAAATAGTGTCTTAAAAAAAAGAATAGCACACCTCAGAAGAGAAAAGAATGAAGCCCCCAGACAGGCCATCCTTTCCTTATCAGACAGGTGTTGCTGGGGAGGAGAGATGGGATGCATGACAGGCTTTTAATGCCCCAAGGTCTGCCCAAGGGGACCAGAAAGAGTGTATAAACTTTTGGGTTGGGAGTTTAGGGAGTGAAGGGCACCAAGTGAAACCCCACCTTCCCCATCATAGGGTCATGCTGTCCTCACCACCCTCTTAGCTGCATCCTTCCCCAAAAAAGCCATGATGGGATTCACCTGGAGGCGAGTTAGAGGAAAGGGGCTATGGCAAGTGCAAAACAAAACTGGCTGGTAAGGGGGCTTCTGCCTCCTGGAGAAGAACCGTTGTGGAAAGAGCAACTTTATGAGAGGTGGGTGGCTGTGAGCCTCGGGCAAGCACCCTCTCTTCTCTAGGCTTGGCTCTGTCCATCAATAATCCAGATGGATGCTCAGTCCCTTTGGGCACTGACAGCATGTGATTCTCGTACAGATGTATAGGCACTTGCTGGAGACTGTGACACCCAACACACTGGGTGTTCACACACAGCACTGAAATGCGGCCGTCTTCTGCTGCTGTTGCTACTGCCTGGGGCTCCCTCTAGTTACAGAACCTATTTCACCTCTTGGGAGGAAGCCTTTCAAACAATGCTATTAAGCTGAGGTGCTGCCATTCTGGGGTTGGAAAAAAAGCACTGGCTTTGCAGCCAGACAGATCTGGGTTTGACCCTGACTGTTCCTAGCTGGGTTACCCAGAAAGTTTATGTAGGTTGCTTCCTGAATCTTTGAAATGGAGTATGTATATGACTGCTGCACTCAGGATTAAGGAGGATAATATATGCACAATTTTCAGAAACCCCTTGAGCCCTTAGGCTAGCTGTGATTAAATTCATTTGTTAATTCAGTCCATATTTATTGAATGCCTACTATGTGCCACAGTGCCTGACAGTAGGTGGGTAATGACTCCATGAATGTAAGGAGTCACATTTTCTGGAGGGGTTCAGGGGTGGGGAAGGGGTTGGGAGGAAGGGTCAGGAGCTTGGATGGCAGATAAAGTAAGCTTTTAGCACAATGCTTTTAATTGCAAAAATAAACAGTTTTGCGCACTGCTTGAGCGTAGCGTCTGCTTTACAAAAATGAACAACAAACAGGAAATAGCCCCAAAGCAAAATGTTACATCCAATTGCTGCTGGAAACATTACTGTACAAAATACCGCTCGAGACCGGCTCGGCGCTGCCCCAGCCTGTCTTTGGGGGGGACGACGAAGGGGGGGGGTCTTATGGGACGGCGTGGGGCGTGCGCCAGGTACAAAACACCCTTGAGTCCCAAGGAAATGACTTCCCCCAAGCGCGGCAGACGAGGAGGAGACAATCCTGGACGGCGGGAGCTGTCCACGGAGCCGGTGCTAAACGGGGCGCGAGTGGCGGGCGCTTCGAGCCGGGTCGGAGGCCTGCCCCGGGGCGTGCCGGGAAAGGGGCGGGCCGGGTCTTCCTCGGCGCGCGGCGCGGGGGCGCCCCGATCTACAAACTTACTTCTCGCTCACAGGGCGGCGAAGGAGAGGCCCAGCGAGTAAAAGCCAAGGCCCTTGAGCCGCTCCTCTGCCCGCGCCTTCTTGCTTGAGGTGCACCTTGCTGTGCCGCTTCTTCTCGTCACTGCGCGCGAAG